AACACTGGGTATTTTTAAACTTAGGACAAAATTTTGAATCTATTTAGCAGTTTTTTTCATTCACTTTTGTAGATGAGTAAAAGATTTTTCAAGTAAAAGTAAAAAAACTTATTTTTTTTCAATTTTTCATCTTTTTTTAAATTGTTTTAATTAAATTACATGAGATTATAGAAATAATGGTATGTAAAGAAAGCCCCTTTTGTCCTGAAAAAAACTATATATAATTTGTATGGGAACAGTAAATGAGAGAGCGGAAAATTACAGCTAAACACAAACACCACAAAAGTGTAAAAAGAGGCCTGGTCGCAAATGTACAACATCGCAAAAACAGTCTAGTCCTTAAGGGGTTAATATGAAAGAGGTGAATTACGGTTGAACAGATATATAGCGCAAATTTAAGGTTTTGTTTACGTTTTGTTTTGATCTGAATTTGTACAACTGCCTTAGTCCTTAAGGGGTTAATAACGAACTAGTGCCACCGGCAGGAAATAGTAAACTCCGAATCGCAAGACAAACTAAAGTGTTCATCCATTGGCCATTTTGTTTGCATTGTGGTCGTATGGAGGCTTGACATCTGGGCTTTCTGCCGATTCATTGATAATTAAAAATTCCATTAACTGTTCAATCTTGTCCGTAAAGTAACATGCAAAGTTATCAGCTGAAAGATTAGTTTGGGGGGTGGCCACAGCAACGCGAAGAAGAGAGTTAGAGGTATTAAAGAGAAGCTTAGGATTGCAAGAGCATGAACTAATGAGAGAGAAAAAGTAAGACTGTTTGTTAAGTAAGGGTGAGGGCTGCGCTGTATAAACGCAAAACACATTTACTATGCAGAAAGTCTGACAAGGTGCCAGACTTCCTCCAGCAGCATTCAGCCTAACGGGAGCACCTCTGCAGGTAGTGGGTTAACTTAGTGTGCAATGGGTGGATGTGTGCCCTACTTGAGGTGTGTACTTGGAGAGGGGCTGAAGTATCTAGGGCAGAGGTGAGGGTAGAATTATATGAGGAGATAGCCAGAGAGGGACAGGAGAAGGTAGGGCTTTGAGTTCAGAATGGATATCAATTGAGTGCTGCGGGAGGTTAAGAGAATTCAGGTTCCTCCTGAGTTGAGGGTGGTTAGGCTAAGCATGCTGGGTGTTGGGGCACTCAAGAACAAATGATAGGAGGTGGTGGCCAGATAGAGGATATGCAGGGCCAGCGCTACCATTAGGCGGCATAAGCGGCCGCCTTAAGGTGCACCAACCCGAGGGGCGCAAAAATGTCCCAGTCACCAGTGGGAGCACGGAGAACACCGCTCCCGCCTGTCACTCTCTGCAACAATCTATCTAGCTGGCTGGGAAACGTGCAGCCACTGAGGGAAGGGGGTGGAGCAGCGAGAAGCGACCACGGCGAATCTTTTCCTGAACTATAGGCCGCTGGGATATGTGACATATCCTGGTGTGTGTGTGTGTAAGAGTTAGTGTGTGTCTATAAGCTGTGTGTGTGTGTAAGAGACTGTGTGTGTGTAAAGCAGTGTGTGTGTGTGTGTGTGTGTGTGTGAGTGTTACAGCCAGTGAGTGTGTATAAACAGTGTGTAAGAGACAGTGTGTGTGTGTCTGTTAGAGCCAGTGAGTATGTATAAGCAGTGCAAGACACTGTGTGCGTTAGAGCCAGTGTGTGTGTGTGTGTGTGTATAACAGACTGTGTGTGTTTAAGCAGTGTGTGTAAGAGTCAGTGTGTGGGTATAAGCAGTGTGTGTGTGTATATAAGCAGTGTGTGTGTGTATATAAGCAGTATGTGTGTAATGGTCAGTGTGTCTGTGTGTGTGATGCAAGGGGGTAAAGAAAAGTAGGATTAAGAAACAAAAACATAAAAAAGAATGCCAAACAGGGGATACAATATACAAAAAGGGAAAACAAGAGAAAAAGGTGATAAGATGCACAAAAGGGCAAAAAAATGGGTAAGAGAGGCAAAAGTGGGAATATTAGACAGACAGGTGAAGACAAATTTTGGGGGCAGCAAAATGTGTCTTCGCCAGTGTAGACAGAAGTCCTTGCACCGGCCCTTAGGATATGGAGCGTTATAGAGATTGGAGACCGTGCATGCATTGGAATAAAATAAGATCCAGGGTATTTCCAGCTACATGTGTGGGAGAATTGGCCCACCGCGATAGTCCTAGTGAGGAGGTGATTGAAATAAGTTTTGAGGCAACTGAGGTCATGTGTTTGTTAATGGGAATGTTGACATATTTAATAAAATGCATTTATTATGTAGGACACATAACTACAGAAAGCAAGTAAAGCAAAAACTAGCTTAAAAATAATGGACAATGTAGATGGATTAGAAAAATTCTCCAGTTTGGCTAAAACTTAATTTCTGCAAGTCAGTTACCAATCCAAGTTCATTGTTTAGTGCATAACCACCAATAAAACAATAAATGAAAATAATAATAAGTAGCCCTTTGCAGGGTGGGAAAATTTGCCTATGCTGAACCATTTCCCCAAAAATTAGATCTTTGTTTGGCACACTGGAATTTCATACTTATGTGAGTTCGGCTCGGCAGACTTTCAGTACAAAGAACCTAATTTTGGAACCTAATCAAATGGAGCACAAAGGTGTACACATGGTCAATCAGAATATTGCAAAATGTATACATAATATGTTTTCCTGCCATTAGGTTCTCAGATCAAGTTAGAAAAATAACCAATAGAGGGAAAAATGGCAGCATTAAAAAAATCTCTATGTATTTATATATTATGTACTTATTACATATATAAAATATAAATATAGATGTTATACTGCTTCTTTCTTTGTACTCTATTTTTCACTTATAAATTGATCTTTAAATAAAATGAACATTCGGTGTCAGTACTCAGCCATCAATTATCTCTCTTTTTTTAAAAAATCATGACCCGAAAAACAAACATGCTTGGCCATTGCGCATTTTGGTTGGTTAATTATTCGGATACATTTCTTCATATTATTCGGAATTTGACCAATCAATCAGTCAAAATTTGGATGAATTGCAGTTTGCACCAAACAATTCTCCTAGTGTGTAATTCAAAATGTAATAAGAATATAATTATGCAATATGTAAATATGCAATAAATGTTTTACACTGAACTATTTATACCATACATCAGAGATGGCATCAAATTGGTAGTTTGACTTTAAATACCTCAAGTAAAAGATCAATTTATAGGTGATGTGACTTAATAAATATTGCATTGTTCTTATCCCGTTAACCATGCAATGTAAATCAATGCTGTTTTTGAGAAAGTGCATTCACTTCTCCTCTTGTAGTTGTCATACTGACATCCACTAGAGGCACTTCCACAGCACAGTCAGAGTAAATCTTGTTCACGTGATGCGGAAGTCCCATAGGAAAGCATTGTTTAAATGCTTTCCTATGGGGAATTTTGAATGTGCGAAGAGCATTGGATTGTACCCTCACAGAAGAGGCAGGGCCTCTTCTTTGACATCGCAGGGTAGGAGCAGTCAGCAGCTTCAGTGAACCTCGGCGCTGGAATAAAATAAGCAAAACTTTTTAAAAAGTGTTTTGCCCGGTGGGTGTTTTTTTGTTTTTGTTTTTTAGAGCAATGGAAATTGTCCCTATAACTTTAGAACTACAGATTTGTATTCCTAAGGCTATAGTGTTCCTTAATTATACAATAACTTAAATAGCTTAAAAAAACATACAGGGACACCAACACTTTAAACAAATGAAAGCCTGAACAAGGATAGATGTACACATATACTCTGAATGGATTAAATTTGCAACCAAACTCCATCTGCATAATTTCTTCCACCATTATGTTATTACTATTATAAAGTTACAAATAAAATTAAAATAATAATAATAATAATAATTGTGACACATCAGTGCAAGAGAACAGATGCAGATGCTGCCGGAAAACCAACCAATATGAAAGTTTTAATGCTAGTTAATGTGACAAAACAGGAGTAATTCTTTTTACAGAAATCTTTTACAATAAGTACATGCTTAACTGTTCTTCAGTTCAGAGACAGAGCACTACTAAATATGTACATAGCAGATAAAAACAAAAAACAAAAAACACACATGTGAAGAGGTGCTCAGCTGTAACACTGGGTAACACAGTTTCTGTTTCCTAGGTACAACACAGTCTGTTCTTTCTGAGATGCAAGATGTTCTTCAGTCCAAGGAGATGTCCTTGAACAGCTGAGGAAATATTTTACATAATACTTTGATTAAGGCAGAGGATTGAGGGCTGAGAAAGCTGAGAAAAAGTAAGGGCGATGACAATAGATAGTGGTGCATATTATACAACAGATATATAAACAACATTATATGTACATGTGTGTAGATAGATAGGCAGACAGACAGATAATTATATACACATATATACAGTGCATTCAGAAAGTATTCAGCACCTACTTTTTAACATTTTATTATTTTTGATGTAGCCTTATGCTTCAATTGTTTACATCATTTTCTTTTTTTTTATTCACATCAATCTACCCCATAATAACAAAGCATGAACCACATTTTTAAAATCTCTGCAATTTAATTCAAAATAATTTGAAACTGAAATATCACATTGATATAGGTTTTCAGACCCTTTGCTACGACACGCGAAATTCACTTCATATGCATCCCATTTCTCTGGATCAAAATGTTTCCATGCTTTTATTGTATTTCATCTGTGGTAAATGCAATCCATAGGACATGATTTAGAAAGGTTCACATTTGTCTATATAAGGTCTTGAAGTTGTAAATGTATATCAGAGCAAAAAAACAAGCTCTAAGGCCAAAGCAACTGCTTCACTGAAGATTCTCAGGAGCCCAATTACCTAATAATTGTTAAATGTCAGAAGATTGGAACAAACAGGACTCTTCCTAGAGTTGGCCACCCAGCAAAACTGTGCCACTAGGGAAGAAGGGTCTTGGTAAGTCTAAACATGCAATGGTCATGTCATCCTGGGTGAGCTCAGCCAACCATCACTGCAACACTGCAACATTCCACTTGTTTGTTAGTATGTATGTCTGTTTGTCTGTATGTGTGTATGTATGTATGTGTGTGTGTGTGTGTATATATATATACACACACACACACACACATACATACAAAAACATACTGATATATACATACATACTGACATATATATATATATATATATATATATATATAAATCTATAATGTCAGTATGTATGTATGTATATATCAGTATGTTTTTTGTATGTATATGTGTGTGTGTGTCAGTATGTATGTATGTCAGTATGTATTTATGTGTATGTATGTGTCAGTATGTACGTATGTATGTCAGTATGTATGTGTGTGTGTGTGTCTGTAACTCCTTATGCATGTGTGTCTGTATGTATTTGAGTATGTGTCTGTTTTGAATTGCTTGTCAACTCACTAGCGTCTCAACGGGCACCTTCACCCACAGTCCCTGCTTCTGGTCTTCTCTCGTAGGAGATTCGACTTCGCTTAACAGAGAGACACATACAACTCCACTCATTAGCTGACTGTGTTAACTTAACACACGCATCCAATTAGTGTGGACCTGTGTCTGCTGTGATTAACTCCACAGAGAGACATATGGCTACTCCGGCTTGAGCCAGGGGCTCCCAGTTAAGCTATCAAACCATACTAAAATGGTGTGATATATTACACTGGAACAGCATCAGGGCACTTCTTCACAGCATTATGTAGTGGTTATGGTGCTTGGAGTGCTTCTCTAACTGAATTTTACAAAATACAACCACAACATAATGTGATGCTGGGTTACTTCTAAGCATACGACAAAACAAACATACCTTGAGTCTGTGCCTTTCTCTTGTGTTGTGAGAATTGTGTTGTCTACGTTTTTTATGGCCTGAGGAGTGAGCTATTAACAAATCTGAGGAATAGAATCTTCTGTAACTTAGAAGAGCCTTTGGACTTTTCGAGCAAAGTAGTCCCTGTTATACTTTGGGCACAATCCGTTGCATCGCAATGCTCTGTATAGTCCAGTGCATACCATTTAAATCAGGACATTACACTGTAGTGAATATAGCGATATAGTATGAAGCACTTGGTAAATTTATTCAAATTTGTTTCCCACATAAATTTAAAAATAAATACTGAGCAAACATAAAAATTGGTTATTTATCACATTACGGCAAAGGTGAATGCAGTTTTAGAGGTTTTTCACAACATAATTTGATGTCCTCATCACATATAAATATATTCATGAGTTTTCCAGTTGGAAGACTTATCATGTGGAATATAATCTATGACATTGAAGCTTTGAGAAATGTTCCTTTTTTTATTTTACAGGCTGTCAAAGAACGGCAGAGAGGCCATCATGAAAATATATAAAACTTTGAGGTCTAATATGAAAGCAGTGAGTTTTGGAGCATGGAAAAAATACTTTTAAAACTTGGAAAAAATGGCCAAGCCAGACACCTTAAACAATAGTTATCAGGACTGTGACTAATTGGGGGAGGGTTAGTTTTTTTTTTTTAAATCAAGGTTATAATTTGATAATCCAGAAATGAAGGCCATTTAAAATTTTAGCGCAAAAAGTCCATTCTGGAAAATAATTGTGCAGAAGAAATTTCCCAATTCGGTTATTTTGTCTTAAAATTTATTTGGTTGTCGCTTCTCTGTAAATTTTCAGTTTAGTGAATACTTTCCAACATTTCTGATGGTAACCCTGTCTCTAGTCATTAAAAGGCAGGTTTCAGTAAGTAAATTGCTTTGTTGTAATAATAAAAAAATATATATATATTATTTATTTATATATTTATGATTATTATTTTATTAATATACATTGCTAGTTAACCACCACTGTCTCCATGACCACAATATCTGCCTCTTCACTAATCTATCAGATTTTCTTATGGGATAACAACTATGTATGAATTTCCATTACTTTAAGATAATGATAATTTATAAAGTAAATATAATGGTTAAAAGGGATATTACAGTATACAAAGCTGTATTCTAGATCTTCAACTGCCTCCCCCCTTCCTCGCATCCCTTCCCCTCACTCCTCTCCCTCCCACCAAGGTGAATAAAGGGTTAAAAATCTTTATTTACTTACCTGATCCCAGCGCCCAGTGACATTGGCTCCACCTCCTCCAACGTTATTGACGTTATTGATGCAGAGCGTGAGGATGTCCAGCATCATTTACTGGACCAAAAGTCCATTAACATCCAGTGCCTGGTAGACAGCCACTGGAGGCAGAATTAGTGCTGTAATGTAAACTGTTTAACATTCCAGCAGTAAGTGCAATAGTGACACTGTACCCAGACCACTTCAATGAGATGAAGTGTCTCTTTATGTTGCTGTTTTTGTTAGTTTTCTTGCATATTGTAAGTGTTCAACTGTACCCCCTCCCCCAAAACAAAATAACAATGATAAAATATTTACACTTATAAGGCAGTTTGTACATTGCATCTCTGCCTCTCAGAGTGCAATCAGTCACCTGTAGTCAGAAGGCAGCCTGTGTGCACTTTCATTTTCTTCACAGCAGAGTCAGGAATCAGAGCCATTATCTGCTGCATCACTCCACAAAAACAGTTATGAAACCACTATCCTGAAAATAGTCCAATCCCAGCAGTACCCTTTCAGCTGTTAAATAGCTTTCTACACTTATACACTTATTTTTGGTTATTAGTCTATCTTTAACAGAAATGAACTCTTCCATAAAAATTTAGTTCAAAGTGCAAAAAAAAAAATATTTAAAAAAAAAATAACGTAATCTCAGCTTCTTATTTTATGAAGGGAATGTTTTCCCCAGACGTAGGTTGAGTGAAGTCTCATGCCAGTGGTGGCAATATCAATCTTCTGTCCTAGTTGCTGCAAACCTGACAGCATTTCAACATACTGAGCCTAAGGTTTATTTGCAAATGTAAAGGCTAACAAGCTGTATTAACATGCAACAGGGGTTGGTGTCTAAAATGTCTGCCCTGTCTTAAGTCTTGGTGACTGCAATTAATAAACTCTTAAATGTATTTTTTTTTATTAGCCATTGGGGGGAGGGGGGTAGACAATCTAAAACCAATTTCAGGTGCAGGTGTGGGTTACTGATACGTCAAGACAAACTACACACAAGTCATTGTCAGCCCTGGAGTTCTTATGAAATTAGCATTTTGAAGAATTATCTATTGATGCCAGGGATGGAAAGCAGATCTACAGAGACGACAATCATTTTTTCTTCCATTCTCACTGCCAAAAATATAACTTTCAGAAAGGTTCTGACTGATTTTAATTAGTTTGCTCAAGCTCTATTTGAAATGTTCATGAGGTCAGTGAAATGATCCAGTGAAGTCTTGCACACGGCAGGTCAGAAATCTCCCTGGTAAAAAGACAGTCTTGGAAATTTCATTACAAAATACTTGTTAGCCTTCATACCGCAAGAAGTAAAAAAAAAAAAAAAAGACTAGAATGTCAAATATTGAATTCCTACATAGTGTGGGTTGTGATGAGAGAAAATGGGATAAAAACTACCAATTTTGTTATATAAATTCTGAAATTCACTGTTGTGAATAACTTAAACTTAGAAAAAAAAATCCTCAACAACTGCAACCCTAAAAGATCGTATTTAAGCAATTCATGCAAAATAGCATGTAGAATATGTAGATTAGCACAGGCAGCTATCTTCTTTATCACCATGAAATAGTCCACATCCCCACAATGGCCAATAACAGGCATAGGCAACATTCAGCACTCCCATGTTTTGGGCTACACCTCCCATGATGCTTTGCCAGCATTATGGGTGTAAGAGCATTATGTGGGATGTAGTTCACAACATCTAGAGTGCTGAAGGTTGTCAATCCCTGGCCTACCAGCTCTAATATCAACTCCCCTTACCCCCCCCCCTTCCTACTGCTCACCCTCTCCAAAATGTTGTTCCCCATCAGCTTATTTAGGGACCTTTATAAATACATATTCCAGGGCTGTATATTAACCAGGATAACACAAAAGTAGGCATTTTAAACAACTATGCATCATTAACAGAGCCCACTCTTTTCTTCCTTTTCACGTCTTGCAATGTTAAATCATCATTGATAGCAATAGCTATGAAAGAAAGTGTCTTTCAAGATTGACCAGTCACTGCTCCCTCATAATGCACTGTTAAATGACATATAGAAAGAGCTATTTCTTACATGATCCATCTCTCTCCTATTTAACCCCTTAAGGACGCATGACATGTGTGACATGTCATGATTCCCTTTTATTCCAGAAGTTTGATCCTTAAGGGGTTAAAGAGACCCTCCATTCGCTAAAAGCAGTTCAGTTTGCAAAATTCTTTAGGAGTTAACGGCTTGTCCTCTTCCTGTACACTCGGGTTGATTTTTTAACTAGAATTGTGCACATTTATAGAAGACACTTTGGTTTCAATGCTTCTCTAAGAGAGCCTTTTTTGTAGGATTGCTGTGATTGCTGCTCATGCACCATGTGCCCCAATGGAGAAGCATTCAGTTGGACATAGGTCAATAATGACATCAAAGGAGGCGGATCAAAGTTGCAGCAAGGACAATCTCCAAGTGCTGGAATGAAGATGAGTTTCATAGTGAGCTTAACATTTTTAATGCTGGGATCTAAACACAAACAGGAACCTACCTATTTAATTAGAGTGTTTTGTTAATGCACTTTAGGTTAATTTACAATAAATGTTTGGTAGAAACAACACCAGTCTCATATATAGTTAATGTTCACCCTTACAGAGCCATGGCAAATAATCATTATAAATCTTAACTTAATTATATTTATTTTGTTGAATGCAAAAGTGGGTAAATAGAAAACAAAGTTTTCAATTTGGCATGGGTGCCACTGGCCTTTTGTTGCACTGCACACTTTGGTAATCATTCTCAGAATAAATGTCTTGTGTCATCCATGCCAACCTAGAAGTTTTATGTACCCTCAGAGCTCTAAAAAAAGCAATCAGTAGGATTATACATGTAATTAATAATTATGTTGACTATATGCTGCTGAGAAGCACTGACCATGCATTTATAAAAGCAAAACTAGCCCAATACAGTTAATATCTAAACTGTTCATTGTGAAGTAATACATTTTTCATTCTATATTTGTGGTTGGCATAGTATTGATTATGTATTTAGACAGCGGCCTGGTCATACTGATGGGAAAA